AGTTTGAAATTCGCAAAAACTTAAAAAAATCGTAAATGTAACAGAAACTCTTTCGATTTTTTGGCATTATAAAAAGCGTTGGTAAACTAATAAGGAAATCCTTAGTCTACGGGCAAAACTCCAAATACATAATTTAATATCAAAATTATGTCACAGGAAGGCGGCTAAATCTGTTATGTTAAATCTGGTTATTCAGAAACTAACAAGTTTGTTTCCAGGGATACGTATGTACATTTAAGCAAAAATCTACCTCATTGTTAAGTTGTAAGAAAATAAGCTTATGGTGGGTCAGGAATCAAATTGGCTGATAGTCGCAGTAGTATATAGCATTACCATTAAATTTGGTATCTGTGTCGGTGTCATGCCAACAGATTCTGTACACGGAAACTTAGATCTATGAAAAATTTAACATGCATGGCACCGACTCCAAATGTTTAAAGAATATGTATTATATCTTACTTTTAAGTGATTTTGTTTTTATAAAGTCTGTTTTTTTATAGTTAAAAAAGTTTCATTTTCTACTTTTTATAAGCAAATCAACCTCTTAACATATCCAAGAAATTATAATAATAGCTACTTTTACCACATATAGATATAGTTAAAACTTTTTATGGTACCTAGGTACTCAGAATACAGAACAAACCTAGGTATTATGTTTTGGTACATATCTATTTGAGTTGGAAGTGTACACTTTAGTCTTAATCATTATGCCTTGCATATGCACATTATTATTTGTGACTAAAAGATGACATCACGCCTTGATATAATTTCAAAATTATACGAACATAAAATAAATGTTACCAAAAACATAAAAGGAGACTTTTAATACTCTTAATGTAACATTATGTTTAAATATAGCCTAATTATTATAATAAAAATAATAAGTGATGTCATGGCCGCCAGCCGCTATGGCGACTGGCCACGTTTCGTAGAGTCGACGAGATGAAACGTGCCAATGAACTTCACTTGGCTTTAAACAACATCGAGGGCATTGCTGCTTTAAATTCTAAAAGACTAATAATAAGAACGCAAAAAATATTCAGAACCTGTGTCGCTGTTGATTATTTTGTTTAACAACACATAGAAAATTAACGACTTGTAAGTACCTGTGCTATATTATCTCATATGATGAGTTCGTTCACGAAACGAGTGACTGAGAAAAATGTTATTATAGGTGAAGAAGTACATATTTTATATTGATTAAATATAATAGTCAGTTTTGTAATTTCTGATTGATGATTTTATTTATGATTATGAAACAAAAAATATAAAACAAGTCTTTGACCGACAACATTACAATCAAAATCTAGGACATGTTTACAAATATAATAAATATCAGAATCATAGACTGTCTTATCTTATTCCGAAAAATATTCGTAATATTATTTTGGATTAACAAAAAAAGAATTACTAATATACGTCAGTCTGATCGCGTGCGTCGTGGTGGCGAAAATTAAGATACCGGTACTTCAAATGGTTATTCGTATATCTTATTTGTAAACTTAACAGTCTCTCCTTTTTACTCCATATAGAGTTTTATTAAAACCACTTGCTATCAAAATAACAAATAGCAGATACGAATAGCCATATGAGGTGCCTGTGACTGTGGACTAAGCTGCGAAGTTAAAACTAATTATAGTGATCTCAATAAAAAGGATCTAACTAAAATCATGCGAGACGTAAATTAAGCAGTATTTCCTCATAAATTCAGCATGAATTTCTATACAAGAGTTTGTAAACCTGCCCGGTGTATTTTATTTTATCGGTTATAGACCTTGGTCACGTTTTAAACAGCATGCAAAGGGATTGACTTTACATAAAACCGATGTTATCAGTTACAATTACAAGAGTTTCACGCACTTTACCATGCGAGTGACATTGTTTTCTTTTATATATTTCTAGTCTTATTCTATGTAAAATTAATTTAAAATAATGGTTTTAGTTTAATTCTAAATAATTAACGAATATTATTTTAATTAATTCGCATCGGGGTTTGTCGGTTAGAAAAATAATTATGTATATAATCATTTTGTATGTGCATGTGCATGCAAATTGTACAGTGTGTATCAGTTTATCACAAATTAATCACTAAAATATTTTTGCCTATCACCAAAAGTACTATAATTTACTATTGTGACAGGTACAGAACCAGGAACACATGTTTATATTGAACAATATTGAATTCAATAATATACTACACGTACCCACGTAACATGTGTTACAAAGCGTCATTATTTGTTAATATTAGCCAGCCACGTCGCAACTTTCTTTTTGGGTGGTGTGTGGTATTGTATGTGCGCAATATTATTTATCTATAGCGGATGTAGGAGTTTGAACCACGACACGAGGCATGCTTCTTGCGTCGTCACGTCATCGTCAGCGACGCACGCCACACGTGGGTATTATTACAGACAGACATGATGGCGACACACCTGGACGTAGCGCTACTAATAACGATGCTTCTCATTAGTCTCTTGTTCTCATTATGCTAATCCTTAAAACGAGCATCAATTTAGCTAATAAATGAAACAAAACTAAAACAATATAGAGATACCAAAGGTCACTAGAGCAGCGTAGATATTCGATTGTCAACACAGGTTTGCAGTTCACACTGCTGGTGTGATACTTTGAAGAGATAAGAATTGAAACATTGTCTGTCATTTATCTGCCAGACTAATCTTTTCATTGAAGTTCCCTTGACCTATTACGGCATTTAGCTGCGCAATAAAATTATTACCGTTTAGTGCGAATATACCATTTTTATATCGGATATTTACAAAGACAACGGTGACAACGACCGTCACACTTTTGGTAGACGGCGGCTGTCGCGGCATACACGCGTTGATGGCGTGCTTTGGCTGGGCAGTAGATTTGCCGACAATCCTAAACCCACAGCAATGACCTTGCTTCAAATTCGTGAGCGTAACGAACACGCGGAAGATAGCCGAGTAGTGATGACTGCCATTATTGAATAAAAACTTTAGATAAATTTATAGCATAATGGGACTGATTCTGGCATGATTTTCTAAACTTAAAACTAAATTTGAAAATAGTATAATATTTTAAAAAGCAAAAGATAGACTGTCTTTTGGCACATTAGTTTTATGTTTACAATCATGTCAGATGCAGGCCCATTAGGTACCTACTCATTTCTTATAATGCAGATTTATTTTGTTGCACCAGAACGTTGTTTTATAGGTTAGGTTGCTGTAAGATAACTTTAGTTTTAATTTGAAATAAATCAAATTGAAACTCTTATAGACAAATTGACAACAATCACTTACCAATTGGTCACTAGCAATTTGTGATAACGAAGTCGCGGTGCGGTTTGAGCTTATCTACGATAGATTAGGGACAAGGCCATTAGGTTATGGACGACACCTAATGGCCTAATGCTCATATACTATGAATGTGGCAGTAAGTTCCTGGTAATTGTATTGTAACCACTACGTGCTTGCAAGCAAACCAAACGCTAACAAGGCAAATTAACATTGTATGTAAATTTATGATTCCGGGTCATATGTGTTTTAAATTTAAGGATGAGTAATTTCGCAGTAAGTTTTTTCTTTCTTGTGTAAAAGTTTTAACACGCTGTAATACCAGAAACACCTTTTTTTAAATTTCCTACCAGTGGGGAGTTCTGGAATAATTATTATTTTGTAATACCTGTGTTACTAAATCGTCCTAGCCATTGCAAATCATAGCTCATGGAATGCTGCCACAAATAGCATACGAAATAAACCTTAATTACTAATATTGATTATTTGCAATCAGTTTCACCGACACAAATTCCTCATTTTATTAATAACTAACGGATACAACAAAAACTTAAATGATTTTGGTTTAGTATACAGGTGTGGCGAATTTCTTATACAGTTATTTCAGTTGCATCAACCAAATATTTAGCAAACACGTCATTATTCCGGACTGGCACAGTTGGACTGGGGTACTTAGGTTATAAAAAGCATTATTTTGTGTAAATCTCACAAATACCCAGACCAGACAAAAGTTATAGGTTAACTACTAAACAAAGAAGGTGATACATTGGCATTAGTCATCTTTGAAATATAAATCTGTAGTATAAGTTCCATAATTCAAATTAATATTGTACTAACTATATTAGCTGTTTTTTTACAATCCTATCCAAACAAGATGTATAAAGTAAATACCAATACACTGTAAATTCGATCAACCGCATCTAATTGCTGTCGGAAGATACCAGGATAATCGGAGATACCAATAAATGAAATTATGAATCAATAAGAAAATTATGATGGCATTAATTAATAAAATCTATGTTACATATTTGGGAATCGTTTTTGCATGTCGATTATATATTAATATTGCCTTAGTTACACAACTTGATCGCTATAATCGACAAACAAAATATTATGTCGCAATCATCTTTCAGCAACGTATTTCGATGACACACTGAACGATTGATCGCATGTATTATTTAACGAAAAACTATTGCCCGATCTGTCGTAATTTCAAATAACTTCGAAATACAAAGCGTATGCTCGATAATCGATCGTAAGATTTTACTAATTTATCGTAAAAGATTAAGTACAAGTATGTCTCAATTGGATTTGAAATATAGTGAATATAGTGCTGTGTTAAAAGCCAATCTTTTCTTTTCTATAATTAGTTTCCCGTACAAACTTTCACCTCGCTTCTCAACCGGCAACATTTATTTTGCAAAAAAGTAGCTAATGTCCTACAGACAGGTTTCTTTTACTTCTATAACCGTCACAATGACATTTTTTTTTCAGTGGTTTAGATTTAGCCATGAAGATGTAGTTTTTAGTAAAATATTATCTTTTTATAGCAATATGTAGTAAAATAAAAAAATATCTAAATAATTGACTAATACCAAAATATAATGTGGTTTACAAAATAAGTAAAAAAAAGTAAGTAAAGAAAAGTGCGTCTTTTTTCTTCTGAAGCTAGAAAAATATTAAATTTCTCGGAAGTTTTGTTTAAATTTGAAAATGACTCACCTCCATAACGACGTAAACATAGGCGGGACTGTCCATGCAATCGTGCATCGCCACCAGGTTTGTATGGTGGAGAGCTGTCAGCTCACGTAATATCTTGATCTCCTTAACCAAGATCTCCGACGCCTTCTGGATACCTTTCTTGGTCACCACTTTGACAGCGACGGATTGTGACGGGTTCTACGAAAAAAAGTGATTACTTCAATTACGTCGTATCATGTTATAAGAAATACAAAAGTGCGTGTTATTTAAAGCGGAACTAAAACGTCAAACGCTAGTTGTCTGTTCTTCAAATCTATATTCTTCATTATTTGCATAAGTAGTATAAATCGAGTCATAACGAGGTTTCATGAAGGATATATATTTATAATATAAGTCGTTGGTAAAATGATAACGTAAGTGCAGCAAGCGTTGCATAAGGCCGTTGCAGGTGGGCGGCTAGTATGTCCAAGGTCTCTGTCACTGCATCTTCTCAAACATCTGCTCATGTTCGTTTATAATTTATCAATTCAATATGTATTATTTACATTTAAAACTTATTTTTAATAACTTAAATTCATGAAAGCAGTGACAAAGAGAACCTACGTTTTATTATGTGATAAGAACCTGAGTTAACAAAAATATTGGTTACTTTTAAAGGATTTCGTTCTGCGTCATGCTAACATTAGACCAAGTGCCGACATTCCTCATGCTCGTGCAGAGATTACATTTAACCTGATTTCGTCATAAGCCACCAACGATTGGGCTATTTCAAGCGATAAAGCGTATATCATATTATACAGATAACGAATTTATACTATAGACTTCATGATCTGATTTAAAAGCTTTTCCTATATTGTTTTAATATCTGACTACACAAACAAATAACTAAAACTATTTTCTATATTTGTGCATCTATCACACACACAGAGTGCCCTTGGAATGCAGGGTGCGTGTCATATTGTTTCATGCAGCGTATTGTCAACTAGGCAGGAACAAAGATACGCGAAATATAAACCACACAGATAGCCCCGACGGCACAGGACAGAGCGTGGTTACGAACTATACTTAAGCAACTGGATTATCTGCTGACTTTTGTCTCTTTCAGAAGTTGAAACGGCGTGTGATCTATATTAACTTTTTAGTTTCCTATTACGAAGAAAATAGTTTAACAAAACTTTTTTCATGGACAAATTCACGAATCTGGTAATTCACCTTGCCAGAAAAGATGAATTTGGAAGAGATACTTTTTTCCCATTGGCTATTCAACTCAGTATAACGTGCTTTTGATAGATCGCACTAACGATTACAGTACAGTAGAGGTTACTTACGGTCAGTTTTTTAAACCTAAGAGCTGGTGAAAAATGTACTCACATTTTAAATTTAATAACGCGTGTGAAGATGGTTCAATATGTCAAATTGGATTTTATTTGTATTTAAACCTTGTACCTTCATTATTAGGTAAACTTCCTGGAATTTAGAAGAGGAAAAGGGAAAATTAAGGGTTATGTATTTTGAATTTAATAAAACTAACATGAGAGATTGGTGCTGTACTTTCGCTTACATTAATGTTAGGTACACAAACAAATCGTCGAGACAAAAGCGTGAGGTATGATGACTTTAGACAGAAGAGCGTGAATGTGATAAAGAAGGTGTCGATATGAAAATCAACAGCTCTCGTCTTAGCTAACATCTAATAATATTTCTATGAGGAACCCTGAAAACTAGCGTTGTCATGCTCTGTCGACGAGGTCATTTGCTCTTGACCACATAATAAGGTTCTTCCACAAGAATAAACTCTTAACTGGAAGTGACGTCAGGCGAATGACTTTAGTAATTGGTGGTTTTTTTTTGTTATATTAAAATATCAATAAAGTATTGCACGTTTGTGAATGTGAACTTATAGCGAACAGTTGGCTGCAATACAAACTTTATTAAACATTTTTGAGAAATTGGTAACATTCCATCCGGTGGTGGTTTAAAAACGTTGATTTCACTCAGAATAGATTTGGCAAAGTACGTCATTTTGATGATGTCGTTTTGTCAAAATGCCGTCATTTGTTTACATAATTTTTAAATAGGTAAACTAATGTAACTTTTTTTTCTCCTCCGTAGCCGAGTGGTTTGTACGCCGGAATTCATGGTGACACAGACCCGAAAGGTCCCGGGTTCGAATCCCGGTGGGGGCAGATGTTTGTGTGATGAATATGAGCATTTGTACTCCAGTCATGGATATTTAATGTGTATTTCTATATAATTATACTTATATATGTACATTATATGTATTCTATCCGTTACCTTAGTATCCCATAACTTACTTTGGAGCTAGGCTAATTGGTGTGAGTGTTGATAATATTTATTTATTATTTTTATTATGTATTCATTTATTGATGTTGGTTTCGTTTATTGATTTATCTACCTTTTCTTCACAGCTCGTAATCATAAAAAATTATAACAAAATAAACTTGAACTTGAAAACTGATTTGCTTTGGATCGCTGTGATAAAAAAAAGACAAAGAAATAAGTGTAAGAATATAATTCTCGTTATCTCCGAAAACGGTTTTTGGTTTCCTACTTTATCGCGCATCGCATCCCGTTTATGTCCGCCTCCGTTAGTAGTAAATTTATCTCAATTTAATTTTATTGGTTAAGTTATATTCTCCATCTCAATTAAGGACACGTGTAAACTAACCCAGTTAAAAACCAGCTCGCGCGTAAACCGGACTGGGAGCAGCTGATCACGAACCAGCTTGTTTTATCGTTACTCACATTCGGAATATTATTTCCAATCATATTTGTAAACAAACGCAAGGATATGAAAACTAGGGTAAAGAAGTAAATATATAAGAAATTAGGAACAAATAAGTTGATCTACGAGCTATGATGTTTACGAGGATGTAGAAGCTATAAAGTGTATGATATGCTGTTTTGTCCTAATTGAGGATGCATGTTAACAATACCAACTATACTGCCTGAATATTATTTATGATAATCTGCAGCACTAGAAATTATGTAAAAATGTTCAGTGGTTCTGAAAATATTTATTTTAAAAAGCGAAGCGAGAAGCAACGCGGCGCGCACTTAAAAAAAACATATTAAAACTTCATTCATAACATAGATTTTCATTTATAGAATTCGAAAATATTCTACATCTGCATCTTCGCGCTACGCCGCAAAAAATTGGGTTATGTTTAAGTGTAGCAAATAAAATTTTATTTTGTATTGTTGCCCTAAAAAGTGTGCGCCCCGTGATGTAATAACTAATAAGTATTTACTTATAAAGAAGGGCCAGTACATACTGAGACGCGACACGGGTGTCTCAGTATGAATTGACCCTTAGTTGCCTTTTTCAATGGGGAAGAAAACTGTTAATTCTGGCCGCTTGAGGTGCTAGTGTTGTATGGCCTACGGCATACGACACAAAATAGAAACAGTTGATGAACTGTTGTTTTTTTCGTAAAATGCTGCATAGTGTTTATTTGGTAAAATTATAATAAAAACAAAGTGACAAATTGATTGTTATAAATGTTTTCTTCCCCATTGCGCTAAGTGTTAAATAGCCTAATAAACACAAATCTGTGTAAGTATCACACTCTTGGTCTGGTGTACTGTACCTTTCAGACATTCATAACTTGGGGTTAGGGTATGAAATGGCAGTGTATAGGTTTGGTGAAGTCTATAAACACAAGCCAGTGAGTTTGCTAGCAGCTTGTAAACTCTCCAGTATTAAGTTCCTTTGAACAGCATTAAAGTTATAGAGTTTAGCTTTTTATTAAATAGTTTTAAAATTATTTTTTTATTGCTCATAAAATTAGGTTGTAATATAATTTAACAATATAGCAATTACCTCTCAGTTCTCTCTGAAAAATATTGTAATGATAAAAAGATAAAATACTAGCCAGACAGCTGATAGATAGCCTACTTATTGGTGCAGATTCACTATACTACTACTACTATTCTGTAATAGTGTAAAAACCTAGCGCATAATGATGAGCCCTATGCTGTTTTACTTTAAACACTAAAAAGATTATTTGCAGTTTCTAAAACTGCTGATTCTATTCCAGAGACTAAACTTATAGAAGAGCCAGGTTTAGAATATGTTTAGTGTCTGAAATTAAACTAACTATACTTACTGGTAAGTCATTATAATTGCATTTCATTTTGTAGAAATAAATAATAATAGTAATAAATAATAAATATTTCCAACACTCACACCAATTTGACCTTGACACCAAGAAATGGCTAGTAACATAATTTTACTATTGGCAATTTTCCTGAAGATAAGTTCTATGCACAGCTGAATTAATTATTTCATAATTACATACCAGTGTTGTTTCATAATATCAAAATATTTTTTAAGACACTATGAGCATTAAAGTTTTATTCATATTGTAGTTGTACTCTTAGAAGCTACAATAGAATAGTAAAGTCAAATAGTCAAAAATAAGTTATAACTTAGCCAAAATTCGCATAGAGCTAAAAATTGATATCTTAAATACACCATTATAAATAAAATATCAAAAATCCCCTTTGATCCTACCTCTGCAAAAGAAATATCTATGGTCAAACATACAAAATTTGATTATTCCATTTTTCTCTTAAATGGTAAGTTTTATCAAGAAAATAGGTTAGACTTAGTTTTAGATCATACAAAAATAATAAAAAATACAATAATTGTTAAGACACCTAAATACTACTGTTGTACCTCTTTTAAAAATTTGCTGATGTAGTATTGCAGCATAGCATTTATATTGTATGTCCGATAACAGGTAGAGGTTGCATTTGCAAGTGCATAATTAGTAGAATATTACTGTTAAAACCACAATATCTCATGAATGGTGAGTCATACGAAAAAGGTGTCTTAAGAATTTTTGTATAAATATGAATGATTTAACCTACTTTCATGATAATGCAAATAGTTTTTGAGAAAAATGGAAATAACCTTAACTTTTGTATATTTAACTTTAGATATTTATTTTTGCTGAAGTAGAATCGAAGGGGATTTTTGTCATTTTATTTATAATGATGTATTTAAAATCTCTAGCAGTTTTCAGTTTTATGCAAATTTTGGTTAAGTCCAATGTATATTTTGACTGGATTATAAAAAAAACACATGACTAATGCATTTTGGCATAGTTAATATATATTAACCCCCCTTATTTCAAGTTATTAGGGATATGGTGTAGATAAATAAAAACAAATCATGTCCTGTTTATTAATAAGCACCTCAGAGTATGCAAACCAGTGAACCAAATGTTCACCAAAAAAAAAAATGTATTTAATTAATTGAGAACTTCAGAGATTTTGTGTGGTTTCGTTTGAAATAGAAATCACGTGATTTCTCGAAAACCGGAAGTGCTACGTTACTCACATCCGGTTTGTAGTCTTATCATACTATTCTTAACTTATACCTTAAACATTCTCTATATCTATCTCTTACGGTTTGGCCGCTGAAACAGCACCACGGACGGACGGACGGACGGACTTGTCTAATAGATAAGAGATTAGCAAACCAGTGAACCAAATGTTCACCAAAAAAAAAAAATGTATTTAATTAATTGAGAACTTCGGAGATTTTGTGTGGTTTCGTTTGAAATAGAAATCACGTGATTTCTCGAAAACCGGAAGTGCTACGTTACTCACATCCGGTTTGTAGTCTTATCAGACTATTCTTAACTTATAACTTAAACATTCTCTATATCTATCTCTTACGGTTTGGCCGCTGAAACAGCACCACGGACGGACGGACGGACTTGTCTATTAGATAAGAGATTATCTTACTGTATCTTAGTTACAAAGCCATGAAAAATTTAAATCTATAATATGTTTTTAATAAGCAAGAACTTTTAAAAGTACTATTAATTTATTATTACTTCTGTTGAATAAAAGTAATTGTTACAATGGATAAGGCAAATTTATAAAATTGTAAAATGAATAAGAAGACATTCATTTTTACAATAAAATCTTTTAATTATCACAATGTATGCTATGTTTACTTAAAAACAGATTAGTATCAGATTACTGAATTAATAAATATTATAGGAGAGCTATATAAATTAATCTCTTATTTATAAAACCTACCTAATAATTAAATTTTAGGTCAGTAATTAAGGCAAATATGATTTTTTAATAACTAATAATTTTCATTATATATATTTTACATTTTTTTTAACATCTGTATGTAGCAAAAAATACTAAATGAAAAGTTTATATACAATCAGACCAAAGCATCACAAACTAAACACTTCCCTTTGGCATTCACACTGTTTCATGTACCTATTTCTATTTATAAACAAAGCATTATACAAAATCAGCTGTTATATACATGCAGCTAACATTGGAACTATATATTGTAGAAATTCATGCTCGTGTTATTGAATGAAATTATAAGTCGGGAATAGTGCACCATAGTTACAAAAAAACAAAATAACGCGTAATTTTTTAATCCTAAGAAATTGACGATGACGTACTGCCGCCACCCACAGTGGTAAAAGATCAATAACGCAGAAATTCAACTCGAAGCTGGTTAAATTCAACAAAATAAACGATGAATAAGTGTATATATTATGGGTTAATCGATATGAATCTAATAAAATGCAGGAACAATGAAAACTGCTAATCATACCTTTCTCTTCCTTCCTTTGTACACCATAGCAAAGGCTCCATGTCCAATAATATCTTGTTTGGTGAATTCGTATTCACCAACTTGAATTACTTCCATTTTCACCAGCTTTCCTTTAACCACAGACATTTTCACAGTCTCTATTTATTTACAGTCAGTGCAACAAAAGATCAATAAAAATAGGGATTGTGGATTTGGGAACTTGACTAAGCGCTACATTCTGACAACAGCTTCTAATCACTTCCTGATTTCCAGTAATTGTTTAATTACTATTCACTTGAACACTATTTTAACTAAACATTGTTACAAATTATATCATAACACAAGACGCGACGATTGCAAAATGTGTGAAAAGTGATTTTATTTTGTGTTGATTTTGCAGAGTTGAGAACAGTGTTGACATATTAAAAATTAATGAAAACTAAGCGCAGTGTTACTATCATATAAATCAGGGTTGCCGTACCTAAACACATTTAATTACCATAATTATTTATAAGTAAAATTAGTAAAAGTGCTGTATTCGACATACTTGTATTTATACCATTTAAACAATATTTATGAATTACTTTGTTGGTTATCTTCTTCACCATGAAGGTTGCGAATACCTAATTTCGGCAATGCCATTTTCATGTTTTAATTATTTTAAGCTTAAATTGTGGTAATTTATTTAAACCCTCATTTCCCACTCCTCACTATTTCAAATAACATTTTCGAAAAAACTTGTTTAGTTATATGTAAGATGCAAGGAGGCCAAACCCAGGTATAGTGAGATACAACATAACAGAGGCCCTTTGTCTGATTCTTACAATATACCGGAGTACAAAATGTTACATAGGTATATAAATATGTGCCAATTTTTTGAGTTCCCTAATTAATAATTACTTATAAAAAATATACTTTTCCTTTTCTCATACTTTCCGTCTAAAACAGCAAAAGTACATTTTTAAACAAAGAATAAGCTTGGATCAGTCACTCCACGTATTAGTAGTATAATTTTTCGTCCATTGGGACAGGCGAAGGTACTAAGCCATACTGATAAGTCTTACGTCCAAAGTAGTCACTCCATGTTTTTTCACTGTTCATTTCTCTCTGTTCATTGAATGACAAATGGCATTTAAGTGATATGGTTAAAACAGGGTGGAAATCAAAGCTTATTTCTTGTTTGAGGTTTTAGGCACGGACCTGTTGTATGTTTGACTTTCTATTAATAAAAATTTTGGTCATCGAATTAGAAATAGATAAGACCTTTCATCTCTTTAGTTACAAGCATTCTTGAAAGCGAGTATTTTTTAGTAGGATCCTTTAATTAAGCGTTGTTTCGGTCTAATTGAAGAAGAGTTTATTGTCGTGCTGACTTCCTTCCTCATCAAAATAGATCCAGATGATTAAGATCATAGATAAATAATTGGTCTATGATTAAGATAATGAGTAAACTCACTATATTGATAATCTCGATGATAGTTCGTGATAAATTCTACAAAACACATTAGAATAAATTACTCCTATGGTCAAATTCGAAATCTGATGGTAAAGAAAAACGAAGTAAGAAAATACTTTGAAAGCTACTTTAAAGTGTTAGTACCCTAAGAGACTTTTACAAAAAAAATACATCTATTGATTTTTTTTATGTAACAAATTCGATTTTTAATAATCGATTTCATGATACCTCACAAAAAGCTTTTTAAAAATCGGTTTTTGTAGCTTAAAAAACGATCTATGGGAGAAAATAGGCTATGAAAACATGACACATAAAACTACTTTTGCAATTATCTTGAAATGAAAAGGAGAGATGTTAAATTTAGTTATAAGTTTAGAGAATCATGCCAGAATCGACACCATTGTTAACTGATAAAAGATAAAGGAAAAAATTTTTTATATTTTTTTTGAGGATTCAGAAATCAAATAAACTTAAAACAAAACCTCTCAATATAAATATTATTACTAAAACTCAGATAACATTAGCTACGGCCACAAATCAATAGGCAAAGAATTAAAAAATAATAGCTTTGATATACTTTTTCCCAAGATACGATTTCTCGTTCTAATCTAGCGGAAAATATTTCCAGTCTTTTAAAAAATACTCTTTCATAGCTGATGAAACAGTTACTAGGGTAGACTATATAAAGATTTCTTCATTTGTTTGTCTGTAGTAAATTAATTATAAGTTTTCGATTAAATGTAGTTACACAATGTAGTCGTTTTATCCTCTTACCACTGCTCCTACTAGCTTACCTTGGAAAACCAAGAAGAAAGAAAACAAAAAAATAAGGGTAATGTGATATACTTTACTTACTCCCCCGAGAACAATTAATTAATAATAATAATAAATTCTTTATTTAATTCTTCACATAAGTAGAAAAAAGAAACATTTACAATAAAGTGCTTAATTACAATATTTCATTACTTTATGTGAAGACTGGTGCTTGCAATAGGATAAACCTGTTCTACAAGACACCAGGCCTCCACTCCCAAAACTACATGAACAGAGCAAGCCTCCTTTGTACTATTTATGTGATTAATGTATTAATTAATATGAGAAGTGCTTAAGAAACAACTTACAACACAATAATAAAATAAATAAAAAAATTGTGTGTGTGTGTGTTTTTTTTTATGTTATAGGTGGCATACGAGCAGATGGCTCACCTGATGGTAAGTGATCACCGTCGCCCATGGACACTTGCAATACCAGGAGTATCACAAATACGATGCCGGCTTTTAAGGAAGGAGTACGCTCTTTTTTTTGAAGGTTTTTGGGTCGTATTGGTCCGGAAACACTGCTGGCGACAATATATTCCTCAGTTTTGTCGTACGTGGTAAAAAATTTCGACAAAAACGCATGGTTGTGGATAGCCACGCATCAATATGATGGGGATGAAATTTTTGTCGCGATGTACGATGGCGAAATGCAGCAGCTGGAATTAATCCGAACAATTCCTCAGAACACTCTCCGTGATAAATGCGATAGAAGATGCAGAGCGATGCTACATCCCTACGCAAAGCCAAAGGATCAAGCTGATCGGAAAGGTCCTGGTCGTCGACGATTCGAGCCGCTCGGCGCTGGATGCGATCTAAAGGGAGAAGCTGGTACTGGGGTGGCCCCGCCCAAAGATGAGAGCAGTACTCCATGTGAGGCCGAACCTGTGCCTTATAAAGTTGCAGTCGGTGGGCCGGTGTGAAGTACATTCTCGATCTATTGAGCACACCAAGCTTCTTAGAGGCCAATTTGGCCTTGCCCTCTAAATGATCCCGAAACTGCACGTCGCTCGATATGTCAACGCCAAGAATTCCAATACTAGCTGAGGCAGTTAGAGGAGGCAGTGTTCTCAAAGAGAGGAGATACGACAAATGGTATTTTTTTTTTGCGGTGAACGCGCATACTTACTTACGTGTGTGTGTGTGAGTGTGTATGCACGTGTGTGTGTTTTTGTGTGTGTATGTATTTATAATAATTAAGATACTATAAAAATGGATTTTATTGAATTCTCAATATTCACAAAAACTTATAAGGTAGATAACTTCTGGAGTTATTAGGCTCGTTTGATCGATATTGGTGATGCTGATTTTTAAGTTAATTATTGTTTCAATGAGACAACCAGTTACTATGCAGATATAGGCTTAGTCCAACCTCGTGGTGTCGCCTTGTGCACCCAGGGTTAGTTATGGAAATACCTCGAGTAAGGTTGAGGGATCTGTCCATAGTCACGCTAGGCTTAGATTGACTGGAACGGGGCTTGCAGCCTTTATTGTAATAATAGCACGCGTACCTCCTGTTCCCTTGTATAAAGAAAAAATCTCCTCGATTCTTGTCTGGGTTTTTGCTTATTCCTTTAGGGAAATGTAGGACCCTGAAGTTCACATTGATGATGGCTGAAAATCGGTATTTTGCCTTAAAACTTGCTAATGTTTAGCCGAGCCTTGGCCTTTTGCTTTCTGCAGCATACATATGTGTATTTCATAGCTGATTTCTTGTCACTTTTCATGTTTTTTTTATTGTATTGTTCTGAAATGTATATGTATGTTGAAGAAGAAAATAAACGCATTATCTATCTATCTTGTATTTTATTGAGTTAAAGAAAATTAATTTCATCTTAACTAATTTAACAAGAATTATTACATTTAATGACAATAATTACCATGCATATTGAAAGGCTTGCAAATCAATAAGGGCTATGAGAAACAGATCAATATCAATTTGGCAGGCATCTGAACAATATCTGGACCTAGTTAATCGGTTCCATATGAATTTTATTAATCTACAAATAATTTTATTATTATATTCCCACTATTACAAGATACTGCCCTACATCACAAGATTCCAGAACAATCTACATACGATACAGAATACTGGAAAGCAAAAAATATAATACTTTTCAACGATAAACATACGTATTCTCATACTAGAGGTTATACCAAAGAATGGCCCACCGAAACTTTAATGTTTTATAAATAAAACTAGTTTTTACGGGTTAATGCACGAAACTTTATTTATTTATTTATTGTTTCGCAGCCTTTTCAGGTCTCCATCGTCAGAATCTATTTAATGTTTTGTTGAATTTTAGGTAAAACTTTGCTAAAATACGATTTTCATCTAAGTATTGCTTACATTTTACTAATTATGTCGAAAAAATTAAACATTAAGTTAGAAAATAAGGTGTAAAACATCGGTCCCTTATTGTCTTCAATAAAATGGCTGCCTTTTCGTAGCCTGTACGAATCGGCGACTATCGAACTGTGTTTATTAAAAAAATGCCATTTGGAGAGGTCCATTATCTATTGAATATTGCAGAAATGCCATCAAGGTATAATAATAAAATATTGTGGTCAGCATTTCATTTATACATTTTTTTATATTTTAGGGTAAATGCAAGAGGGCCCATCATTGTGGGGAGATCAAAGTTAGTACATTCTAGCCTATGTTTGCAAGTTAATTTTTTGTTCGCCCTTTCGTAACTCCACTGACAGCCAATGGTTCCTTTTTTAAGTCGGCCAAAGGTGTAGCGATATATCTAAATTCAGTTCCATAACTGTGACTTCACTTCTCATCTTATTTTTGTCATCATGTTTTGATGATAACCTTTCCAAATATCAGTAATTTCAATGTCATCAGCAGTAAGTAACGCCAGTATTTGTTGCTCCAAAAAAAACATAAAAAAAAAGATTAATAAAATGTAATTTTTATAGTAATAATCGATTTAAATTTTTATCAATTTTTACATCCCTATAATTTTTTGACAATTTCAGAAACTGACACTTGATGTCACTTGTTGTCGTCCGCGGGTGCGAAACATAAATGTATGAAATGATTATTAATCTTAAAAAGTATCTACTTCTTTAATACTCTGAATAGTATGTTTAATTTATTATCGCTTGAAATAATATTTTTTCAAATAGCATAAAGATGGCTGATAGAGATCTTACTATGGGACCTCGTGAAGGTATTACGTATCCAGTAAAAGTGCAGTATTGCGGCAATTGTTCGATGCCGATAGAATATTGCGAATATTATCCTGAATATGAAAAATGCAAGCAATGGCTGGAAAAAAATTTGCCTACGGAATTTGAAAAAGTAAAAATTGGTAAGGTCTATAAACTAGATTTTTATTAAGAACTTGATAGGTTATCTATTATCTTGGATTTTATTCACAGACGAAGAAGAAAATGCGGGTGGGGAAGAAGAAAAGAAACGTCAAAAGCGAGGTGGAAAAGGCATGTTGAAATCAAAAAAGAAAGAAGATGTCCCCAAGTTAGTTCAAGTTTCCCGTGCTCCTCGTGGAAAGAAGAAATCGGTAACTGTTGTGTCAGGACTGAGCACCTTTGGTAATTATACAAAAATCAACACCATAACAAAATTTGGTGTACATTCTTTTTTGACAGGCTTTTATTAGGTCAACCTGTATGTAACTATGTAATGCAACCTAAGAATCTGAATTACACGCACTTCTAGTTCTTGTATCATCATGAAACTTGGCAATTATAGGTAGATTATGTGACAATACAATATTATGGTACCATCGAGCTGGTCTGATGATGGGATTGGAAGGTGGCTGATGGAACCTTGGACTGCCTTCTAGTTAACATATCGAGTTTGGGCTCATTAGATTTGTCTTAACATATTATATTCATTTTTCGTGATGAATGAAATTAAGAAGATTAAAATAAATTAATAGTTTAAAAAAACCAATAATTTTAACTAAATTGTTAAGCATTATGAATCACGTAATATATTGATTTGATAAATATTGCAATGAATAGCACCCCCAACTGTTTTAGTTATATATATATATATAAAAATAAACTGGCTTACTCTAAGGCCTTAATGAAGTTAATAGAGAGTATATTTTGTTTATTTTTGGCTTTTAGTGCAGTTAATAAAAGCATGTTTTTAGTTTTTTAACTATTAATTTTTACTACTTGATATCAATAACATTCTTATAATATTTTTCCATTGTATGAAGGAATAATGAACTACATAGACTAATAACTTATTTTAATGTCCTTCAGATATTGATTTGAAAGTGGCAGCAAAGTTTTTTGGAACGAAATTTGCATGTGGTTCTTCTGTCACTGGTGATGATGAGATTGTTATCCAAGGAGATGTAAAAGATGATCTCTTTGACATCATTCCAGAAAAATGGCCAGAGGTAAGAATGTTTCATTAATTTTGAATGGTTGTTACAAAATTTCTATTATTGCTTGTAAAGTATTATAGCTTTTCAAGTACAGTGTAAAGAGGTAATGGAAAAAAATATTTGTTTTTTCAACTGAGCGAAGAATGAGTCTCTTTTTTTATTCTTCTCAATACAGCAATACAGGTTCTTAGAACTAACTATTACCACAGCCCCATTTAAAATGATTGTTGAAGAATGTGGGTCAGAATTTTAATTTCTTATTTAATGCATTTCTGGTTAGAGAACAAGGAATGTAATGTACTTTTGTACCTGGAGGAAACTACAAAATCACAGACTGCAATGACCACACAGTATTATTTTGGTTTTCAGATTGATGAAGACAGTATTGAAGATTTGGGAGATCAGAAGAGATAGTTACAATTTGGTTAACTATTGTATGTTACATTTTCTTTAAGTATGTATAATTTAAATTATACCAGTGAAATATCTTAAAATATCTTCAGACCAAATTTTTTCTTATATAATAATTACTTAAATAATATGGCTCTGTTTCATTAAAATACACTGTAATTTTTACTATGATTTTAATGATACCAACTAAGTTTAAATAAAACACTGCAACAACATATTTTTTTAAGTTTCTGGTTTATTGCATTTGTTCACATTTTAAGGACCTTCTGAACACTGCAATAAGAATATAATAGTAAATAGGTAAATACCATTTTTTAGGAAAATCAAGATCTATTAGAATGCATAGGTTGTAGGGTAGAGGGAGGCACATTCGCACATAAATGGACTCATAAAACATCAACTGTAAAGAGAAATCGAAAAAACATAGTTTTCTTAGCTTACTTATTCCTTTGTTAATATAAAAATGAGGATATGTTTGAATTTGCTGAAAACGTTAAGAGAAATAATGTGTTTTTTAAAACACAAATTTGTTCAAATCTGCCTCCCCGTGGGGGAACATTTGAATCGACAAGAGGTAGTTCTGAACAATGGGTTAAAAACCAGAAAAAAGAGGATAGAGTAATAATTTGTCTTTATTATAATGATATTTATTGTTCCGAATATATAAAATAAAATTATACGATACTTCTAAAGTTACATCTTGTATTACAGTAACAAAAATTTTTAATTGTGTCTGACTTCCTCCTTGCTAACAAAAGTAATTATATTGCACAAGAGTTTTAGTTTATTGTTATTATAATTATATTATACTGCCTCAGACGCAAAATTAAAATAAACTTAAAATATAACTTCTAAACCACAAAAAGTCTTTTTATAAATAGTTCACTTCTTGGAGCTATGTTTTCCTGATATTTTTTAACTTGATAGAAGAGTGTACTTGGTGTCAGTCCATATGCATCTGCAGCTCTTCTAAGTTTCATAGTTCCGTTGATGACGCATAAAACAGTATTTTGGTCATCATCTTCATTAATTATACTTTCCCGCTTATGTATGTTCTAACCAATCTATAAATAATGTATTTCAGATAGTGATGCATTTAATTACAATTAAGTATTACATTTAGTATACATGTATTAATAAACATTTGAAGTTTGCATTTGAACGTCCAGTTCAAATCTGCCCGGTTTGTTTTGATCAAATCTGCCCCATGGTCACTTAGAAGATAAAATATTACAAAAAAATAATGTGAAATAACTGGCAAGCAAAAACTACAAGGTATATTGAAAAGTAATAAGTACTGCACAATTTTGTGAAATAATTAGTTGGAAACCTTTACTCACGTGATAGTAAATCCCTTACAACATTTATTTTTATTTTTTACTTCACCGGTACAAATACGACGACAGGTTATAAATATTTTTAAAAACGAAACGCGCGCGTTTTTTTACTTGACGTTTGTCACAGCCAGTACTGCCAATATTAAAATGTAGTTACGGCATAAATTAACATAAAGTTCCGTTCAGAAATCAACATGTTCAAATCTGCCCCTGTGCTAAGGGGCCTCCTTCTCCCCTATATGTGCATTTTAAAATAAATGCCTTGGCAGTGGTTACTTGCACTATCCAATTATGCTTTTATTTAAAAACACCCCAACTATATAAATTCTAGGCATAAATTCTAACAGATGTATCCCAAATATAAGGTATCTACATGAGACATAATTTATAGAGTTCTCTATCTCGAAAAAAAAACTCTTAAATCAAAAACATCATCACCTTGTTGTCTTTCTTTCAGTCTGTCAACTGTTCCCTCTCTCATGGAGAGGGAACAGTTAACATCTAACTAGCTAAAATCGATATAAAATTTTCGGGTGTGACATTCCTAGAAAAATAAAAGATTCGGTTTATTTATTTCGATGGCATTATATTTTGGTGATCGTAAGGAGACAAAATCTTTAATATACCATTGTTATAAAGGAGGCGGCAGGCTGCGAAGGGCGATTCGTCGTTGCTTAATTACCGCTGCCCTATTACAACAAAAAACGGCCGAGGCTGCCAGACGGGCGCATTTCAAAAACTCTCTTTCCAACGTTTAGGTGGCATATGACCAGCAGTGGACGTCTGTCGGCTGATGATGAAGTAACGGAGCATACCGTTTTGCATGTTTTTTTTTATTGTTTGAAAAAAGACATCAACGAGCAATTTAGTTTTTTTTCGTGGCTGTAATCATAATCCATTTTCGTTATTAATTAACGACTATCCTTACCTCACTATCTCTATTATTTACAAAACCTCATAATATCTAAGAATGTTTTTCTATTGGAAAAATTTCCCATTAATTATGATTTATGCCACGAAAAAAAAATGAAATTGCTCGTTGATGTCTTTTTTACAACAATAACATTAAACTAATAGGTTAACCGACATCCCACTACCTACAAGTGCGGATGTTTTTTTTCATCGTCTATCCCATCGTGTGTTGTATTGTTTAATAGGTCTTTTAATATGACTTGACCCCCAAGTTAAGACTATTTTTCGATTTAGGGATCCGTTTGCGGAATATTAATCTTTAAATCTAATGCTTGTTCGAGTAGTAGTAGTTCTATTTCATAATAATTTGATTGACCATAGATTATCTTTTTTGTAATGATATGACAATCAATCGCTCTAGGCGATGGACTGACTACTATCAAGGTTTGATATATAAGTATATATATGTTACGCTCAAAGATCGAAAACGCTCAGTGAGCGAAAAAATAGCTCACAACGCGTTGTGAGCATTTTTTTTATGACTCTAATGAAAACGCGCCCGACGCGTTGTGGCAATCACAGAAAGACCAAATAGCGAAATTCGTGTCGTGGCTGACATGCTATTCGATCTCAAAGCGTCGTGGCGATGAAGAAAAGCCATGACGCGTTCTGAGCATTCATTGTTTTAACCATATCGCGACGGACAAGTTGTAAGTTAATAACCTAACTTATAGACCAATTACACAAACGGGTATAAATAAATTTAAAGATAGTGTTTATCATAAAATATCGGACTTACCAGTTTGTAATAATAATAATATTGTGTATGAAGATTTATTCAATTTAATTAAAGATGAATTTAATAAAATATTCAAACGCAAATTAATTAAATGCCATAGCTCTAAAAAGAAATTTAGTGATTGGGCCACACCTGGTATTTACAAAAGTAGAAATAAGTTGTATCAATTATATGCTCTCAAAGCAACCTCATCTGATCCTAAGTTTATAGAATATGTCAAAAACTATTCAAAAACTTTTAAAAAGGTGTGTGCCATAGCGAAAGCTAAATATTTATCAAAAAAAAAATAGTCTATCAGATAATAAAATAAAGACAACTTGGAATATAATTAATAATGAAACTGGAAGAAATAAATTTAATGAACACACATATTCTTTTTTCAGATTCAGATTCATTTATTCATTGTTTAAACTGGGTACAATAAGGTGGTAACATAATGTATTAAAATACAGATCCAAACAGTCTGCCCATTTCGGACGTACAATGTCAATAGTTAATTAAAATTCTTTTAAAATGTCAAAAATTGAAATTAAAGTAAATAATAATAATAATCAATTAAAATTAATTTCATAAGTAAAAATTATAATTTGCATTCAATCAAGATAAAAATAAAATTATGATCTATAATAATTAATTAAAAATAAAATCATTAAGATTTACTGTCATAAAATTCCTTAAGATTATAAAAACTTTTTTCAATTAGCCATTTTTTTATTTTATTTTTGAATTGAATGCCATTTGCAGATTTAATACATACAGGTAAGTTGTTAAATATCTTTATAGCAGCTACGTATGTGCTGTTCTAATATATAACTTGAGACTGGAATCGAACACAAGTTATTAGTATATTGCGACCTCACATTTGTCCTTATTGAGCTCGTTTTACAATAAATATTTATATTATTCTTAACAAACAAACTAATTTCTAAAATATAAATACATGTCAAGGTAAGATATTTATGTGTCCTAAAAAAATCTCTCAATGAATACATTCGATCTAAATTATAGATTATTCTTATACATTTTTTCTGCATTATAAAAATTGAGTTCACATTAACTGAATTTCCCCAGAATATAACGCCGTATGTCAAGAGAGGGTATACATAACCATAATATGCATTGATTGCAACTTCTCGTAAAGCAACATTTGTCAATATGGAAAGCATATAGCAGATACTGGATAATCTGTCATTTACTTTATTCACATGTGATTTCCAATTTAAATGGGTGTCAATGTTGACCCCCAAAAATTTAATCTCATTTACCATTTCAATTCTTTTATTATGTATCTCTACTTGAAGTTGTAAAGAACTTTTATAGTTTCTAAATTGCAGTAGCTTTGTTTTATCCAAGTTAAGTTTAAGGTTTATGGAAGCAAGCCAAGTCATTACAGATTTTATAGTGGTACTAATCTCGGAGACAAATTCACGATCGTTTTGATTATCATTAGAAATAAACAAAGTAGCGTCATCTGCAAACATTATACAAAGGTGTTTTATGATTAAAGGCAATTCATTTATATATGTTACGAAAAGTGGTGGTCCCAGCACACTTCTCTGTGGAAGTCCTAATTTAATAACTTTATAATTTGATTGGACACGAACAATTGTTTTAGTTTTCCTGTCAAAAGTATCTAAAACTACAGCCTGGCTCCTGTTTGTCAAATAAGATTTAAGCAATTTTATAGCGTTACCCCGAATTCCGAGATGCTCCAATTGCCTCAACAAAATATCATGGACTACGCAATCGAACGCCCTTGACAGGTCCAAAAATAGCCCCACACATGTTTTCTTTTTGTCTATATCAAGACAGACCTGCTTTAAAATCTTGAAAATTGCTAGGGTTGTATTTTTGTTTTTTTGGAAGCCGAATTGATTATTGCTAATGATGTCATTTTTATCAAAAAAGGACTTGAGTCGAACATATATTAACTTCTCCATTATCTTTGAAAAATTAGATAATAATGCGAATGGTCTGTAATTGCCAATTTCGCACTTGGATCCTTTCTTATGCAAAGGCTTTACTAATGCCTTTTTCATATCATCTGGAAAAACTCCCGTTACAAAA